TCTATCTATGAAAACCACCCAAGATGGGGCATGATTCATGGTGAATGTTCAATAAATATTCCTTCCTCTCCCTCTTGCTCTTCCGTGCCACCTCCACTCGGTTCTGTCGCGCACTCCCGGTGCCCTGCGTTCTCAGGGCGGATTTATAGACTAGTGCTTGTTCGGAAAGGCTTGCGAGCCTCTCTCCCTCATGTTTGTCTGCGTTCTCATTAAGGAAAAGGAGGCCCGGCGATGCTAAATGGCTCACTCAATAACGCAAAAGTGAAAGCGGTTAGGCCAAGGCTGAGGTCCCTGTTTGCAACAGCCAGCCTGGTCACTTCGCGCCCAGAGACCTGCCTTCTGAGGAGGGAGGGCTGTGCCACCGCCTCCCAGCCTCTCCTCTGCCCCAGTTTCTGGAATCATGATCGACCTAAAGAAAGAGATCAACCAAAGACCTGGTCTGCATAGATGCATAACCCGTGGACACAGGCAATAGGGTGGTGAAGGCCTGGGTGGGGGGCGGGGGCAGGCTAGAAGAGGGCAATGGAGGGAAAAAGGGGACATATGTAATACTTTCAACAATAAAGTTGTTTTTTTTTTTCTAAAGATAGAACTCAAGTCTGTCTTAATTCCAAAGCTAATGGGAATGGTTCCTCAGCAACTGCCCTCCCCCCCCAACTCCCCCTCACAGGGCTTCAGGCTGTGCCAGGCACTCAGGGCTCACAGAGGATCCACAATTCAGCTTGGGGGATTTACGCGTAGGCTGCTGGGGGGACTCGCTCCCTGAATATGCGCAGGGAATTTGAAGAGACTCATATTTCAAGGTCACTGCTAGGTTAAATGGGCATCTGTGGGCCAGCATGGGAACTGAATCATCCATCATTTTTGATGGGAAAATGTGTTCCCAAGTAATTCACAAGCAATTCATGAATGAGCTACATTTCATTTATAGGTCTGTTATTCTCTGAAGCAAGGCTTAAGGCAGGAGAAAAAAGGAACAGAAGTGGTGGCCATGCAACACCTTTCAATATGGCCCCTGTTTTGCATCATCCCTGTGTTGCATCTTCTGCTACCTAGATTTTTGAAGGGGAATTCAAAGAGAAGAATAAAGAAAGAAAAAAAGGAAGAAAAGGAGCTAAGGGATCTTTGGGGTCACGCATAGCTGCTGATACAGAAGGCACCCAAGTTAAATGTGCTACAAGGTCTAGAGTTCTGCTGCCTTTCCTCCGCAAGCGCTAATGTCAGGACCGACACCTAGCCCCACCCCCAGCTGCATAGGGACTGCACTGGATGACCTCCCAAGGTCACTGCAGTTCCATGAAGGATGGTTTCATTTCTGGGAGATGCCATCGTTTTGGGAAAGATGTTGCTGAGAAAGAGAGTATTTCATT